CCCATCCTTTCAGTTTGAACTGTGCCCTGCTCACCAATCTGTTTTTCAACGTTTTTCATACAATGTTATTTCTTTTTGTTAGAATAATTGATGTCATACATCAATGTCATTTTGTTGGTCAAATTTTACATCCCAATGGTTCGATTCTGCAAACCCACCGAAACTATTGCATCTCTGTTTGCCTCTTTGATTCTACTGAAACTCCTGTCTACTGAAGCTCCTGTTGGATTTTATTTCAATGGCCAGGGAGGCACACTGGCAGACCTTACATGCTTGGGGCAAAAGTTCTAGTGCTATTTTCCAGATGGAAAGGAAGAGAAGAGGTACATTTTGCTACCCTCATATATAGTGCAGAAGTAGGAATCTTGGCAATTCAAGTCCTGAGAGTTTGTCACCTATCTTAAAGGCAAGTTTATGCCGCTCTGCTGTCATCTTATCGTTTCATGCATCTATGAATATGCATATTGGACTGTCGTGTCTTAATTATCAGACGCAAACTCACACACGAGGATCGGCTTTTGTAATAGAACATGCTACGTACAGTCGTGTCTTACTCATCTGCAGTCTGCACCCTGAGGGTGTGCACGTGTGGTTGGTGCTTGCTGGTGTAAGGAGGTATTGACTCCATCAGCATGCTCCAGCGTCGTGCTATCTGTTTCTGCTAACAACCTTTGTCCATTGGCGCTCAACCTCGCAAGATCATTTTACACTCTTCACAACATCGCTGGCACGTTTCAGTAGCATGCTTACAATTTGTCTAGTACTCATTCATAGATCACATACATCCTGTTCTCGGCCACGCTCATTCAAACTACAATGATAGGTTTGTTTGGCCTGAAATTGAAACCGGGATCTTCGTTCGCCACGATCCCCTTGCTTGTGTTGAATGAATAAGTACTGCAAGGTCTGGTTTGTACCGACTTTCCGATGCCGGCCGGTCCAGGTACATTCTTGCCTGATCTGTTGCAGTTACCTTCTTGTGAAGAGCATAATAAAGATAAACTCGGACCATGCAGTAAGATCGCATATGCTGCCATGGATGCGTCCGACAGGCTGGTCTCCGGAATCTAGCTCTGTGCAGCCAGTCCGTTGTTTGATAATAGTATAATGTTGTTCCTATGGCTTCGTTTTCCTACATAATGTCACTATGTTGGTGTAAGTTATGTCACAGCATTTTGAATTTTGATGGACAAGCACAGGCCTTGTTTCTGCAATTATTCCGTGGTTCAGCAAGAGATGTTTGTGTAACGCTCTTGTTCTTCCATGATATTTGTATATTCTCTTGGCCGTTATAGGATTCAGTAGAACGGATAGCCCTTGCATCAGGCAAGCCAGGAATCCAAGCTGGAGAGAACAAAATCTTGGTTTAGATACAAACTATTGTAAGCATTTTGAACCTGCCATTCAAGATTTATCCGTGGATAATCAAATAATGGACCAAGTCACCTTCACCGAGATGTCAGCGAGCTCATGCCTTATCCGCCCGCTAGAACATCAATTTGGCTCGGCTTTGAAAACACGACGAGAACCCAAGACGGTCACGATGCAAAGTTCCACCGCCGCGAAGCGGACAGAGTCGGGAGACCGAGAGGGGGCCGCCATCGACCACCACAGACCATGACACGCCGGGTCATGCCCGCGTGCGGCGTGCCGTCACCACAGAACACACCGCCGCCACCCAGCAGCAGGCCATCTCGGCACCACCCGAAAACCCTAGAGTAGCGCCACCGCACCAAGCCCGTGACAGCGGCAGATCGCCGCCACGTGCCGGTAACCACTGCAGCACCAGCACGGCCTACGCGAGTGTCGCGTCCCCAGCGAGCCGCTACATCTCGTTCTGTAGACCGAACACATGGAGGAGGAAAGAGAGGCCCCGTTGTTGCCACTGCCGACTGGGCTTCAACCGGCGGCATCGTGGGGGAGAGGTTAAGGGAGAGCTGATGGCGCTAGGGTTTGCCGAGTCACCGCTCACGAGAGCGGCGCGTGCCAGACAAAGCGTTACTTTTTCGTTCCACACAAGCCAACATGAATTTCAGCACCATCAGATCGCCCGAGGTGATGGCAAGCCCATCAATGGCGCCATGAAAGAGCTAGACTGCACACTCATCCTCCTCCAACACTGAAACTGTTGCGCACCTCTGATATGAATACCTCTATTGTCGCCTCCAGTGCGTTCTCGATGCATGCAAGAGATATGTCAACGACATAGGAGTCGCCTTTGATGGGATGCTTGACTTGTTTCCATGCACCGCGGTTGTAGAAGTTTATCGCTCAGTCTATCAGTTGCAGATCATCTTCATTTCCTCACCCGTTCTTCATTCTCATGTCAAACTCTATCAAAGTGGGGCAAGCCAGCTCTTATGTTCAGTCTTTTTTTTAGGTTGTCCGTCATTTAAATGAGAGAACCCTGTAAAATTATTGTTGTTATTTTTTATTTAAAGGCTCGACATAGAAGTTCGAGAAATATCTAAAACAAGAAACTATGCTTACAAGCAATGTACCAACAGTTTCAATAAATTGAGGAATTGTAAACTCTTATAAACGAAACGAGTTATACAATGAAAATTAGTTATGTACCAACAGTTAGAACAACCCGAGCGTCCCTCCCGCGAGTGACAGGAGAGAAAAGCTAGCCGCCGCCGGGGCCTCCCCTTCTCCTCCCTCGCCACCACCAGAGGGCGCAACCAGGTGAAGCCCCGTCGGCGGCGAGGATACCTCGTCCTCTCGCATGGTGGCTCCGCGTGGCCCAGGGCTGCTAGACTAGAGTGCAGTGCTGGTGGTGCGCAATGGATCAAGGCTGCGATAGCAGCATGGCAGGTGCGCGTCGGGCGACCTGGGGCGGTGCGTGCTTGCCTGCTTGGGGGCTCAGCGGTGGCAGCTTCGTAGAGGCCAAATCTGACCCGCGGGCGGCTGGCTACGTCATGGTTGTGGTGGAGATGACGTCGTGCGTGTGGAGGCTACTCTACTCGTGGTGGCCCGTCTATGTGCCCGGCGTGTCCTGCTGGCGAAGCAGAGGTGCATGCTAGCGATGGCGTTCTCGGGCGGCAGATCTGGTGGTGGCCTTCTCATCATAGTGATGGGAGGTCAAGCGCAGTTAACCATGGGGCGGCGTGCGAGGGATTCATGCCCTAGTGCCAGGATCTGACGGTCAGGGCGGCAGTTGCCGTTCGTATGGGCGATGAAAGCGGCCGACTCGCCGGTGGGAGCACACTGCGGCACCGGGAATCGGGGCGACGGCCCCTCTACTTTGACGGCGGTGGCCCCCGTGGTCGTGTGGGAGATTCAAAGGCCGAATCTCAAGGTGGTGACAACCTTTCTGAGGCTGGCACAGTATGGGACGTCCCCTCCAATAATAGATCGGGTTCAATGCGGCTCGGTAGGTGACACATGCGTCTCTTTCGAAGGCGTCATGTAGTGCCTATCGTCCGCAGGTGAAACCGCCGGCGGATGCTACGCACGAAGGCTATTGCGAAGTCGTCAAGTCATGCCTTGTTTGGACAGGTGCTGCACGGTGGCTCTGGTGGAGGTGTCATGTTTAGCATGTCGCTGCTGGATCAAAGGTGATGCGATAGTGACGGGAAGCGAGTTGGTATGGGACGTCTCTGTATTCCGACATCTTTTACAGAGGTATCCAATTATCAATGTGTCAGTAGACGGACAAGGGACGATGGTAGAGGCAGCTTCAGCTTCAACAACAAGTTTGTGCACTCTAGTGGAAACACAACACAAGATCTCTGATCAGGTTATGTTGACGTCCGCCTGCATCGTGTCCTTGCTGAAGATGATGGATCGAAGCCTAGCTTTGGGGATAGGAATCCTGAGATGAACCTTCGGTTGTACTCGTCATCATCAGCGCACATGCGGCGATTCCTTCTTGAAGGCGTAGCGTAGGAGTTGTATATTTTTTGTTTCGAGATTTTCTTTTTATCATAGAGTTAGTGGTTATCTAGTGGCGTAACTGTAGCGAGGCATGCATGCTCGGGTTTTATTTCTGTTTTTTCGGATCGATGTTGTTCAGCTCCTGGATTTTGAGTTATTAATAATATACGCTTGTGTGCACTGCTCGATACAGAGGCTAGGGTTATCCTTCTTTTCATAAAAAAAATGTACCAACATTTAAAACAAATGATCACGTAAATTATAAACTCTAAATAAAATATATAGTTTTATTTCTAGTAGAAGTAAAATATATAGTTGAGTTGTACAACAGAATGTTAGCCATATACCAACAATTTAAACAAATGATAGCATACATCATAAACACATACAAAAACCAAAAAAAAAGTTTGATTCCTACAAAACATACATGGCTTGTGAATTTATTTCCATTAAAATTTGGGAAAATAACAAATATATGGAAAATATGTAGCTAAACCTGGATGTGTACTCCCTGATGAACAATAAACTAAAAAAATAAGCAAAAAAAACTGAAGATTTCTTCAAAGATGCTGAAATGGTTAGGCGCTTAAAAAAGTTTTTTCCATAGATGATATTCGAGGACAGTGTCGCTTTAGTGGTGTGTGGTGTGTGGACTATCATGTTATGTACTCTTGTTCCCTTACTATGTCACCCGGTGCATTAGAACATATAATCTACGTCCATTGCATGTGTATGGTCCCTTCCGTGTTGTTCTGCTGTGGTCCATATGGCTTGGATGTTAAAAGATACTATCACTGTGCCATCCAGTCTATATTTGAAAACATGTTTTATCTATGCATCAAGATACACTTTATGTGCAAGCTCTATTTTTCATTCAGCAACTACCGACATGATTTCTAACTATGTCCTCAAGACAGCTCCCAACACAATAATAAAATATCTAATTCAACTATATATTGAACCAATTATCATATCCGATGGCTTACCGTTGGCTGGGCAATGCGTGGCAAGCCGCACCCCTATCTAGTACTGATGTATGGGCGAATGTATTTTAGAATCTTAGACCCAGATAGATCAAGACAAAAAAAAAACAATTGGTAGCTACCATGATTACAGCCACTTCACTTGGAGACCCCTGCGTCCAGCTCCTCATCCAGCTGGATAACGGAGCTCTCTAACAGCACAGGGTGTGGCCTCTCCTCAGTCGTCGCGGCCACACCGGACTGCTGAATCTCTTTGTCCTCCTCTTTTTGCATCCCTGCACAATGTTTAAAAGGAACACAGAACATATCATCAGTTGTTTGATCAAGAGAGCAAGTCAAGCTGCCAAGTAACCAATCCATCCCCCTATTCCCAAGTTCTTATTACATTGTATGCCAACTTCAATTGAAGTCCAGGAAAATTCCCTCAGCAAGCAACTTAATAAGCTTACACTCAAAATTCAAAACAGGCACGAATTATAAGCTTCCACGCAAATCTGAGATTCCAACTACATGCAAATGGGGATAAACTCGAATGTGCCGAGCAATCCAGTAGAAATACTGCGGAAATTTTCCAGACCTATCTCCCGCTCCCACAGTGATAATACTCGCTGCACTCAACATGTACTTGGCAGAAGGACAGTAAAAATGCAATCCCAGAACATAAAATGCAAATCCCCCAGCCATCCCCGTTTGTCATGTTATCCTTAGTTGGTATGGCATTAAGCCAAATCAACCACAACAAAATGGTTTTCAAGAAGGGAATTATGTTTCCGCAAGTGCTTATAGGGCCTATTCACCCAACATGCCGCAAGGTTATTACAAAAATGCAACAATGTATTTACCAGGATTGTTCAATATCCCCTTAGGAGCAGTCAAAAGCAGATCACATTCTGTGATGCTGATCATGTAGACCTTCATCTAGACAACTCCCTATGCTAACAAGCCAACTATAGCATTTGCTTCAGCTACAGATGGAATATAACAAAGGAAATTGCAACTTGAAAGGAACTAAACCACATATCATCCCAAAAACTAGTTTTCTACTCAGTTCCCTATACAACACACCTCCAACCACAAATGTAAAGATTTTTCACTTTCAACTCAGCCCAACAAGTGGAATCACTCTGCTTGTGTTTAAGGAAAGCTTGGAGCCCTCTGGTGTACTTGGCCGTAACTAACTTTTGACATATACCATCAACACTCTCTAGTTTCCTCCACCAGTTACACAATTTCTTTTACTATTAATCTTGTACAAAATTTTAATCCCAAAGCCACCTTCATTTTTAGGTCGATAGAAAATCTTCCATTTAATCATATAGTACTTTTTTTTTCTAAAGAATCTCCCCTTTGCCAAAACAATTTTCTCCTGGTCTTAACTGAATATATTTTCAATCAGTATCGGGCAACCCTGTCATATACGGTACATATACAGACCTGTAACCGATGCCTTCATCGCGTGTTGTTCATTGGCCTTTCCATAGAGGTATATGTATAGACCTCCTAAAACTAAAGCACTACCCAACAAGCTGTCATAAAATAGAAAATTGTAAACGTTAGAAAGAGTATGTAAACTATGTAGAAGGTATATGTAAAAGAACCAATCTCTTGTTTAATATCTGTGTTTCCAGGAAATGATGTATAATTTACCTCCCAACAGTGAGGCTTTCGCCTAGCAACAGTGTTCCTAAAACAATGATGAAGATCGTCGATAAGGTGCTGAACATGGCTGGAAAAACTGGCCCCCGCTTTTCAACAGCATATAGGTTCAGCCAATACTTGGCTGCTGTGCCAAGTGCGGCCTATGGATTCAAATCACAGGCAATTGCGTTAATTCATTGTCAATTTACTTAAATTGATATAATAATAAACAAAGAAATGTTTTGAATATTTCAAAGCCAAAAGTAATATTTTCATAGTTCTCAAACATAGCCTTTTGTCATATAATATACCTACTTCATACACTGGCGGAGCTTAG